ATCGTGTGGGAGGGGAGGCGCACAGTTAGTTAGGTTAGGCTCTCTCTCTCTCTCTCTCTCTCTCTCTCTCTCTCTCTCTCTCTCTCTCTCTCTCTCTTTTCGGGCGTCGGAAACCTTGGGCGTCGGAAACTTCGGCTATGCCAAAAGAAGACTCAAAAGAAGAAGAAGAAGGGGGGAGGAAGAAGAAGAAGAAGAAGAAGAAGAAGAAGAAGAAGAAGAAGAAGAATTAGAAATGGGAAGAAGGAGAAGAAGAAGAAGAAGAAGAAGAAGAAGAAGAAACAGACAACCACTTACCTTGACCGATGACTGACGGGGAGGGGGAGGCCATGGCGTGCCGTGCCCGACGTGCCCAGAGTGTCGAAGTGTCGCAGTCGGAACTCGGGTGGCCCGCACTCGTCACTGCGACGAAGTGTCGAAGTGACGAGGAAGGCTTCGGGCGGTTTCCCGCCCGAATCTTGAAAAACTGGCGGCCTATCTGGGCCGCCGATCTCATCAGATCGACAGCCCAGATAGACCGCCAGTTTTTCAAGATTCTGGTGGCCGTACTGGACCCGATTCATTTTTTTGGGGGGTCGGGAAGCCTCCACGACCCGCAGGGAGGCCTCCCGGCCCCCGAAAAAAATCGAAATTGGCTGGTACCCGTCTGCGCAATTTCCTACCGGGGGGGAACCGGCGCGGTCCACCGGCCCGGTTCCGGTGGGGGAAGACCCCCCCGGTAGGACCAGAAATTCAGCCTTGTTCTGGGGAGCATCAGTCCGGCTCCTATTCCACCGGCAAGCCAAAGAAATACATATTGAGAACACTCTCACGCTCCTCCCCCTTCTGGTGTGGAGGCCCGAAGGATGGCATTGATTGCTTCCATCAGGAAGGATGTASCCCCCTTCACCCCTGCCTAAGTTAGCCTGCGCTACGTTTCTCCTTCCTTTTGCTAACCTGGCGTACACTTTATTCTGTTACTTGGAAATAACCTCCTTTTTTTCCAACCAGTCAGTTCCTCTCCGCTCGTCAGCTGTCAGATTGTCTTCTCTCACTAGAACTGCTGTTTGACCTCCTCTGGTAAAATCCTATGAACTGTGTACCGTGGGGCTGTCTTTACTGCACTCCTTGCTAAACCCTAAACCCTAGGTTACCTACTGACCCATGCAGTCCGTATCTGTTCTTGCTGTCGTGTGTATTTGGGCTTCCTGTGGATGATGAAGTGGTGTTCTAATGGTCCTCGTTTTGAGAAACTTGGTGTCCTAATGGATGGAGTGTTACGGAATTGATCTGGGATTGGTAGTGGGATTAGGTCTTTTTTTTTTTCTTTTTTTTCTTTTTTTTCCACAGTGATCTGACTTCTCTCTTCCTCCCTACCTAGTCTTTGTTTTAGTCCCAATTTTTTAAAAGAATTTTGCCCTTTTTTATTTCTGCAAATTTATTTTCCTTTAGCGATGTTTTTTCAAATATCCGCTGTCGTACTTCCCGCTTCTCAGGTTGGATGATTTTCTGTTGCATTTTTTGTTCTCTCTCCCATTGGGCTCTGATTTCCGTTCGCGTTATGTCTTTGACCTCGGACCATTTTTCTTCCAAACTGGTACTTTGATCTATTAAGGTGCCTTAACATCTTGCCTTCCAGGTTACCCATAGGGTTGCTCTTCTCAGCAGGTCAGCCAAGTCAACATCTTCTTCTTCGAGTTCTTGCTCTTCCTTCCTTCCTGACTGTAAATAAATCATATCAGACGGGTATGACTGATCTGTTATTTTTACCCATAATGCTCTCGTTCTGTCCCACAGTTCCTTAGCTCTTTGGCAATGTACTAAACAATGTGTTAGTGTTTCTTCTACCTCCTCGTTGCACATTTTGCAGTAGGTGTTTTGTTGTTGAGTGTCTCCTTGCTTATTTCTTCTCCTTCCCAGCCATTGGTTGACTGGTACTGCCCAGTATATTATCAACCATTGCAGACTTCTGATTCTCGTTGGTCTTATACCAGTACAGTAGTTCCATGGAATCTTGCTAGTCCATTCTGCCTTTTCACCCAAATTCTTCTTCCATCTCTCTGATATAACCTGTTGGGTTTTTTTTTTTTGGTTTATTAGTCTATAGCCTGTTTTGACTTCATAATCGTAGATTGCAGTGAGTTTCCTTGTTCCCGTGTTGTTATTAGGGATCAGCCAACCCCATTCCACTGGATCAACTTCCAAATCCTTTATGTCTTGCTCCGGTTTATAGATCCAGGTTATCTTTTGATTTTGGTTGTTGTTCAGAGAACCCTTGCGGCTCAGTTTTGGAGAATCTGTTCTAACCTTGTTGAGGCTTTGGAGATCGATTATTGATCTTTGTGTGATAATTCTGCCCGGTTTAGCCCAGGTTTTGTGTGGGTCTATTAGCTCGAATGAGATGAATTCCGCCTTGCTTTCTTCTGTGTCCAGCATTTTGACTAGCTTGAACGCTTCCGTCGGAAGAATTGATTGTTTTCTTGTTGCCCAGTCCCCTACTGACCATTTTCTTTTGGACTTTAGTAACAGAAGCCATTTCAGGGGGACACTTTCCAGTATGGATTCCAGTTGTTCTTTTAAGTTGTGTACTCCCTTTAGTTTCGTTCTGAGTTCCTGGGTTGTGATCCATCTGCTTTCTTCCGAATTCCATATGTGTTCCACTTTCCAGATTCCGTTACCTATCCATTTTCTCCACTTCCTTCCTTTAGAGTTTAGGGACCATGGTCTGCTGTTCTGATCTGTTAGAAGGGGGTTCCCAAACAGGGGTTGTCTCAACACTTCTTCTCTGATCTGCGGTATTATTTTCTGAGGGAAGCACTCCCTCCAATGTGTTATGAGCGTGGTCCAGTGATCGCTCGGTGGGTCGCTCGTCTCTGTCTGTCCCCCTTTTCCTTTCCCTCTGGGAGTCCATGTCGGGTTTAGAATCCAGTGGTAACCCTCTATTGATGGGTCTACCCTGAAGGGGACTAGATTGCGGATTTGGTGGAGAGCCATGTTGTGCCATGGTAGTTCTTTGTTGAATAATAGCTTGATTATCCATTTTACTTGAAGCGCTTGGAATTGAGCTTTTGGGTTCAAGATTCCTAGCCCCCCTAGTGCTTTGGGTCTGGTGATATATTTCCATGCTACTTYGGAAATATAACGCTCTTTGTCCGCTTTCCCCGTCCAGAGGTAAGATCCTATCTTTCTCTTGAGTCTTGTGAAGAAATTCTTCGGCAGGTTCCAAAGAGAGGCCATGTACCAGCCCATGGACAGGATTGATGTGTTTAAGACTAAAACCCTTCCCATGAGTGAGACGTATGATGCTTGCCACCCAGCTAGCCTATTCGTCATCTTGATAAGAAGACTGACTCCTGAGACTTCGCTTACTCCTTCTTCTGATACTTGGATCCCCAGGAAGCGTAAAGGTTGGCTTGCATCTAGCCATTGCAGTCCCTGGGTGTCTTGAGATTGTTGTGGAGGATCTGATTG